GTGTGTGTGTGTGTGTGTGTGTGTGTGTGTGTGTGTGTGTGTGTGTGTGTGTGTGTGTGTGTGTGTGCTAAAAGTTTATTATCAATATTATATTTCATGATAAAAGAATAGGTGCCTTTTTTTTTTAATTAAAAAATATTAAATACATTTTTATAATTATGATATGAATAGAATGTTGATAGCATTGAAGGAATAAAATAGCATGAAAAATATGACAAAACATGAGAGCAATGAAACTAATTAACATAGCCCTTTACTCATTTACATAAATGTAAATGTCTCTTTCATTTTACACTATTTCTTCTTCTTCTTTTTTTTCTAAATGAAATTAAAATAATTTTAGTTAACTATGAGCTATGCTAATTATTATTTTCATTATCAACAATGAAATTATTGTAATATGCTAAAATGTTGTAATTTTTAAATGTAAATAATTTAAAAAATGATTTACTAAAACTATAATTTATAATAAAATATCGAATAAATTAATTCATCCTAAAATTATTTTATTCATAATAGTAATATTTATTATAAAATTTGGATTTTTTAATTTTAGTATTATTTGTTAGAAAATAGCAATTCAATATTGTGCTATTGAAAAGTGAGTTTCAATGACAATAATTGATAGTTTGATAGCTGTTCCAGTTGGAATAAATGTCCAGATAATGTGTCATTTGCATTATTCAATGTGACTTGATATGCATGAATGAATTTTTAAATTGTCAAAATTTTACTCAAAATTGCAATCATCAAATGAATAATTTATATGTATCAGAATTCTTTTTCAGTTTATAGGTTTAAATCATGACAGAAATCTGTCACCTTAATATTAAAATGATTCGTTCATTCCTCATATTAATCTTTTTTCACATAGATTATTTAAGATTTATTTATAAACTTTCTGTCATACTTCACGTTGACAACATTTTAAATTCGTCATTAAGTTGCATATATGATTTGCATGCATTTTTAAGATTTTATTGTTTTATAATTACTAACTGAAACATTTGTTAATTAAGAGGTCATATAACTAATCAATAGTATACCTTATGGGAAATTATATAAATCACATAAACAAAAAACCTTTTTATGCTTAAATTTAAAAATAATCTAATCGGGTTAATATGTAAAATATCTATTTTTTTTTTGCAATTACCGATAATTAATTATTACTTTTCAATATTTTATTGCATCGTTTTGTTAGCTTAATGTCCAAATATGTAAATATTGGCTAACAAAACATGAATATATAAATTTGCTAGAGATGTAGTGATGCATGGTCATATGTTTTTCTTACAATATGACCTTGTAATAGGATAACCTTTGAACTTCCCGCAATATATCATTACAATTTTATGGCAGTAATATCGATTGTTAAGAGAAATTATATATAAATTATTGTTTACTATATTAAGCAATATACTCAAAACTTAAGCGAAATTGTGAAATTATTATAACTTAAGAAAAGTTATAAGGTCACGTCATCTATTACTTATTTTTGTCTCGTGTCACATGCTAAATTATTTCATTTCATTGGTTAACTTAATAACATTGCAATTTTCGATAATTTGGAAATCTTCGCATATTCGTTATAAGTTTTTAACAAGAAAAAAAAGTTTGAAATTTAAAAATTTATTTGAGAAAAAGAAAACAAAAGTACTAATTATTGAGATAATATTCTTTTTGTCATATTTAAAAAAATCAGACATTCATCGGATTTGCAATATAATAACATTTCAGCCGTACTAATTAATTATGTAAATTAAACAAAAATTTATCTTTGTGTTGACGTGAACTTAGCAAAATTACAATTTTGCATAATTCACGTTAATTATTTAGCTAAAAATTGCAATAATTAGAAGAAATTTACACTGACATTGTTTAAAAAAAAAAAAAAAATGATAATAACAAATAAAAAAGTCAATAATATAAATTTTTAATTTTTAAACGAAAAATTGTATTTAATTTAGAATTTTTGTTAATTTTAACTTATAATTCATTTCAGAGAATTTGGATGAAATGATAAGATTGAATGAAATTTATTGGAAATGTTAATTTACATTTAGTATGGATTGAAGAACAACAATTTAAATCAATAATAATGAATTATTATTTATGAGATGTATCACACCTACTTATTCATTTTCATTATTGGTATGTCATCCATTCTTTGATTATCATTTTATTAATTTAATTTTAAATTAAATAACGACTAATTTCGAACTTTTTATTCATTTGTCATTAATTATTTATTTATCGTTTTTATATTTAAAAAAAATGAATTTATAGGAAAGTTTTCCTTCTTTTCCACTTTTTTTTATTGTATGAAAATAAAAGAAATCGGAAATTTTAAAAGTTTTAAAAGTTCAAAATTTTTGAAATTTCAAAAGTTATTCAATGTAATTTCAGGTGTACTATTAATACATCCAGAATTTGCCACACTACATTGTTCACATCAAATTAACGAAGCTGTTCAAAAATGCGTACAACCGATTGCCGAGTATGCTAAGGTTCTTAATCAAGAGGTTATAGTAATTAAATTTTTCAATTTCAAAAAAAAAAAAGAAAAGAAAAGGTTGTGCGTTAAAAAAAAATTGTTAAAAAGAAAAGAAAAGGTTGCCATGAAATATTTTGAAATTTTGAAAATTAATTGACTGTTAACAGGTCAACCAAAAATTCTTTTTTTTTTTTATGTCTTCATAAAATTTAATTTACAGTATTGGACTGAAGACAAAAAAAAAAAAGAAACAATTTAATAAAGCTATGAAACATGTTAAGAGTAATCCAATAATTACTAAAAAAAAAAAGCCATGAAATAGTCAAACTTTTAATATTGTATATGGCATATCATAAATAATGAATAAGTGTCACCTTACAGGCTTTTTGGTCACAACAAAAAAAAAAAGGAAGACATCGAAATAGGAGTAATGCATAAAAATAATAATAAAGCTGAATTACTGATCTTCAATTCTTCATTTTTCCTTTTTTTTCTAGTACGGATATTTGCTGATGAGAAAATTTAAAGTTGAATGGTTTCATATCACCGGAAATGATAAATTAGAAGGGATGATTTTAGTCATTTGATGATAAAGTTTATCATTTATGGTAACTCTTAGAATGAAAAGATTAGAAGGTATGAGTTTGACATTAGAAATGATAAAAAAATGATGTCAGAAGGTATTAGAAATGATAAAATTGAATAGGATATTTGAAGTTAATGATTATTAATCAGATGCTAAAGTTAAGTTAATGAATGCTTGATGTTAATGATTGTATCTGAACTTCCTTCAGATCATTGAGAAATTACAATCAAATTAACAAATTTATTACTTATTATAAAAATTAATCTTAAGCATAAAATTGGAAATATTTTTTCCATAAATTACTTCTAAATTTTAAGTAAACCATTTCAAATTAGTACATTTGCTAGTGTAATTAAATAGCTATTAGTATAATTGTAAGTATAGAAATTTAAATTAGCATTCAATAAATTAAAGGATGTTAAATATAAAATATGAAAATCATTTTTCGTCAAATAACCCAAGTGAAGAGCGTTATGACAATTGAACAAAATAGATTTAAAACAATAAATGATAATTTGATAATTTGATATAGTCAAAAAGATGATTAAAAGTTTTAGTTAAAATTTTTCACTTTCACAAAATCATACTACATTGGATGAATTTGCAAATTATTAATGGTCAAGATGGTCAAGATGGTCAAGATTTTTCTTTTTTCTTTTTTCACTATCCAAACCTGACCATCATTAATTGTCGTTCCAATCGTATATGTAAAAAGTTTTTTGAATCATATTTTTATTTTAATTTTTTTAAAGCTAAACATTTGAAATTAATATTTAAAGGATGAGCAAAATTCATCGAATGTTGCAAAAAATGATTTTGGTCGAGCAATTGCATTACCAAAAATTGGGCGATATGTATTTCGCGAACTTTTGCAGGTTTACTTTTTTTTTTTTACTTTCTTATGCAAATTTCTTATGCTAAAATATCAAATTAGAAGGAAAAAAATAAAACTAAAAAAAATATAAACTAAAATATCAAATCAAAAACTATCAAATTCAATATGCTATATTTTTTACAAAATAATATTTTTTCAGATATGAAATATT